CAATCAATCAACCAATCAACCAATCAATTAATCAACCAACCAACCAATCAATCAACCAATCAACCAATCAACCAACCAATCGTGATCAAACCTTTCTTGGCTTTCTTCTGCAGCTTCAGAGTGTCTGACGAACGCTTCTTAATCTCCTGACGAGCTTTTTTATATTCTGACCACAGACAGAGGGGACCATGAGTGTCACAGTACAGGTATGGGTGTGTGTGTGTGTGTGTGTGTGTGTGTGTGTGTACCTTTGGCGTGGTCTTTGTCCAGGCTGTTGGCTGTTCTCTTCCACTCCTCCATCTGCTCCTGGAGGGGGTTGATGAGACAGTCCAGGAACAGGCTGGACACACACACACACACACACACACACAGGTGACCATGGTGTGAAGTCGTTGGAGAATCAAAGCAGCCGAGGACCACCACGCCCCCTAGGGGTGGGAACTCCCCACACACACGAACAGGTACTCACAGAGAGAACTGTCGTAGTTTGTTCTCGATGCTGCGCTGCCTCACACACATCCTGGTCAGAGCGGAACCGATGTCTCTGGTCCCTCCTACACACACACACACACACGTCCAGTCAGTTTAGGTTCAGCCCAGGGGGGGGGGGGGCGGCGGGGGGGGGGGGGGCAGGGGGGGAGAGAGTCTCACCTCGGCTGTTGGTCGCCAGGTCGGCCACCTTCTGGAAAGAATCCAGAAAAGCTGTCACCATGACAACTGTAGTCCTGGAAGAGAACCAACAACCATCAGGGAGGGAGGGAGGGTGAGAGGGTGAGGGGTGAGAGGGTGAGAGGGTGAGTGGGTGAGAGGGTGACTGGGTGAGAGGGTGACTGGGTGAGAGGGTGAGAGGGCGACTGGGAGAGAGGGTGAGAGGGTGAGTGGGTGAGAGGGTGACTGGGGGAGAGGGGGAGTGGGAGAGAGGGTGAGAGGGTGAGAGGGTGAGTGGGTGAGAGGGTGACTGGGTGAGAGGGCGAGTGGGTGAGAGGGTGAGAGGGTGAGAGGGTGAGGGGTGAGAGGGTGAGAGGGTGAGAGGGTGACTGGGTGAGAGGGTGACTGGGTGAGAGGGTGAGTGGGTGAGAGGGTGACTGGGGGAGAGGGGGAGTGGGAGAGAGGGTGAGAGGGTGAGTGGGTGGCTGGGAGAGAGGGTGAGAGGGTGACTGGGTGAGAGGGCGAGTGGGTGAGAGGGTGAGAGGGTGAGAGGGTGACTGGGTGAGAGGGTGACTGGGTGAGAGGGTGACTGGGTGAGAGGGTGAGTGGGTGAGAGGGTGAGTGGGTGAGAGGGTGAGTGGGTGAGAGGGTGAGAGGGTGAGTGGGAGAGAGGGTGAGAGGGTGAGAGGGTGAGTGGGTGAGAGGGTGAGTGGGTGAGGGGGTGAGGGGGTGAGAGGGTGAGAGGGTGTTACCTGAGCTGTGACTGCAGTTTACTGGCCTTACTGATGAAGTCGTCCCAGACTGGATAACTGCCCTGTAGAAGTAGAAGAACAGACCTGTGGTTCAGTGGACTGATCAGGGTCAGATTTCTACAGTTTGATGTTGACGTGTTAATAATTAATAATAATCTCTTTGATGATCAGCATCAAGGACTCAACACTGTTGCTACGGTAACCCTGCTCTCACACACACACACACACACACACACACACAGTACCATGGAAACGTCTCACTGGTCCAGGCCCTGACCAGTGTTTGATGTCTACTAGAACCAGGGTCCAGTTCTTGAAGTGGGCTCACGAAGCTCTGACTTTCTGGTTTCACAACAGCTGATCACAGTTGACTGAAGCCTGGGTTTAGTTAAACCTGGGTTTAGTTAAGCCTGGGTTTAGTTAAACCTGGGTTTAGTTAAGCCTGTTCCTCTTCACTCCTGTTGAACGACTGTAAGGATTTGTCTCCAGTGTTCAATAAAAAGAACAACAGTCACAGCTGAGGACAGAGACTCTGGTTCATGACCTCTGAGTGTCCACACCTGACCTCTGACATGTTGATCCAACAACAACAACAACAACAACAACACAGCGTTTTAGTCCTTCAAATATTACTTTGAAATACTTTGTGTTTGTGTTTTAATAAAAACGATGGTGAAAATGAATTCATCCTGAAGTGAAGTCTCCATTTTGTTAATTGACCATTTGAACATCGGCTGCTGCCCTCATGTGGTCCGCAACCCACACATTAGAAACTAACAGAAAAGAAAAGAACAACTAAGACGATGTTGGACGATGGCGGCGGCTCTGTGTGTGTGTGTGTGTGTGTGTGTGTGTGTGTGTGTGTGTTCTACCTTCATGTCTGCTATGATGCTCTGGAACAGCCCCCCCAGGCCGCTGCACTCCCGCTCCATCGCCGTCTCCATCTTTGAAACGACCGTCACTCGAAGCTTCGGTTCTCCATTTCGGGAGGGAAAAAATAAAATAATATTGATAGAGATATTTAGGAAGAAATGGGGTTTTTTCTTTCGAAAATAAAAATATCGTCGGAGGAGGAGGAGGAGGAAGAGGAGGAGGAGGAGGAGGAGCCCCCCCCCCCAGCTGCTGCTAATGCTGCGGGGTTTCCCCGAGCGAGGACAGGACCACAAGAGAAGCGGGAGGAAAAGGAAGACTGTGTGTGTTCGGAGGAGGAGAAGGAGATGGAGAAGGAGTAAAGGAAGGAGGTGCGGCTCACTTTTCTCCCAGAGCCTTGAAATCTCATGCCCTCATGAGGAGGCGCACGTTGAGGCGGAGACTGAGATGAACCACCGCTGACAGGAGCAGCACCGGAAATGGACCGAGGTGGACACGCCCACTGGCAGCGTGTCCGAGCCACCTGGCCCCGCCCACAACCGGAAGTCCAGACAGGTGTAAAAACTGGTCGAACAATACGAGGGGAGGAGAGGGGGTTCTGACAGAACCAGTGGAACCACAACAACGACCAAACCATCAAAGACACTGTCTCTGAGTGTGTGTGTGTGTGTGTGTGTGGGGGGGTTGGGGGGGGAGGAGTGGGTGGACTCTGGTAAATAAAGGTTTAATTCCTGTTTTCTCTGTGACAGGAGTGAGAGGAGCTGAGTCACTGTAACCACAGGGACTGGAACTGTTTAATGACAGGGAGCAGCTGACACACACACACACACACACACACACACACACACCTCGCACACCAAGAACCAACTAATAACAGCTATCAGAGGACAGATGATCGACACAGAGACAAGGTTCAGAACATTCAGCAGAATCTTCTAGAACCTCCTCATCTCTGGATTTGAAAGAAAATGAAAAAAAGTCAGATTTTTAGCCACAAAATAATTTAGTTCAAGTTTTTAATGAACATGATTTTAGTTCAGACCAAAGCCCATGGAGAAAATCAGAGATTTTAGTTCAGACCAAAGTCCTTGGAGAAAATCAGAGATTTTAGTTCAGACCAAAGTCCTTGGAGAAAATCAGAGATTTTAGTTCAGACCAAAGTCCTTGGAGAAAATCAGAGATTTTAGTTCAGACAGTTCAGTCCAAGGTGTGATACGTGCTCAAAAAGAACCAACTCTTGAAGACAATTATAGACATTTTTATTTCATTCACTGCTGTCGGTAAAAATCCCTGAAGTTCCAGGTTTAAATTCCACGCCTGAACTGCAGCTGCTTCTAGACTGAAGTCTTGGACCGTGGCAGGGTTGGACGGTCCTCACCGTCTTCACTCTGTCATTTCCAGCCCAGCGTCTCCGCCCTCTTGGCTGAACGCCCTCTCTGAGACCTCAGCAGCTGAGGGAACAAACAGCCAGCAGATGAACCCGTTTCCCACTTCTGCCTGCTTCTGCCTGAACTGGTTCTGCTGGACTCAGGACTCAAGACAGAGTCCACCACCCCAGGTCCAGGTACGTCTTCACTGAGCCGCACCACGGAATATTGTTGAAGCTGGTACCTCGGCACCGGGGGGTTGGACAGCTGGTACCTGGACACCCAGGACTGTGGTGGTCTGTAGTTCAGCTGCCTCTGAACCTGTGGGTCTGGTTGGCTCTGGTGACCAGGACCAAAGTGAATTCCAGGACCTGAGATGATGGCTGCCTGGATTCCACTTCCTGTCCGTGGATAGTAGCGTTCTATGCCGACGGAGTCCTCACTTCTGTAGCTCAGAGCTGAAGAGACAAACAGGTAACGGATCAGTCTGGTTCTGCAGCTGCAGACCTCACGGTGGTCTTTAACAGTCTACCTTCTGTCTGTTGTCCAACAGTTGACAATGAGAGCAGCAGCAACCTGGAGAAGTGGACACACAAAATATATGAATAAAGAAGGATTTAAAAATAATCACTGTTCCAAAATCTCACCTCACACAAAGTCCAGAACCCATCCTGAACCAGGACCCAGACCACCTGCACCAACCGTCCACCGGTTCTGCTGCTGCTGTGACTGCACTGACGAGTCAAGTGGAGTCAGGTGTGAAGCCAAGGAAGAGCTGTGTGACAACCTGAAAACCTGGACAGGAGCCTGTTCCTCTGCTGGATCAGGATCAGGATCAGGATCAGGATCAGGATCAGCTAGTACTGATTTTAGCTCAGACCAAGGTCCAAACTGGAGGGGTGTCTGTGTAGCTTCAAACGTAGCATTAGCTTTGTAGAAGAAAAGCAACAAAGAGTGAAATAACGTTGAAAGAGTTCAAAACAAAACAAACCACCAGGTTTGGATCATGTGACCACGTTCACAGGAAGACCCTCACACTTCTCTGTGGTCTGTCATGTCAGTGTCAATAACCAACCTGCTCAACTCTGTGTCAATCTTCCATATATTTATATTTATATTTATATTTATATTTATATTTATATTTATATTTATATTTATATTTGACTGTGTTACAGCTGCAGCACATGAGAGACTCACCTCAGACCTGGTTAACAAAGAAACTCCCACGTTTTAATTTCACTCCACTTTTATTTATTGGAACACCAATAAAGAACTCCTTCAAAACCTCAGGACAAGGTCAAACTGGGGTCAAACTGGGGTCAAACTGGGGTCAAACTCCAAAGAGGAAGAGTATAAATGAATCATTAGACTAAAGAAGCACAGACCAACTCTACAGTCTGCTGGACGTCACAGGAACACGTTTCACAGACACGACAGGAAGAACAGAACCTCGCTAGAAAAAACCAACAGCCATGAAGAAGCTAGCTTCTGCGGAGAGCTAATTAGCATGTGGAAAAGGAAGAGAGGAAGGGAGGAGGAGGGAAGAGGGGGGGGGGGGGGGGGGGGGGGGGGTTAGCTGAGTTTGAGGCCCAGGCAGAGCGCCAGCTCGTTCTTCTGGATCTTTCCATCTCTGTTGATGTCACAGTGACTGAGCAGAGCTTTCCTGAACTTGTCTAGGTCTGAGCCACTGATGCTGGGCTGAAGAAACAAGACAGGAATCAGGACGTCAGCATCAGGACATCAGGACATCAGGACATCACGACATCAGGACATCAGGACATCAACACAAGGACATCAGGACATCAGGACATCACGACATCAGGACATCAGGACATCAAGATCCGGACATCAGGACATCAGGACACCAGGACATCAACATCAGGACATCACCACCAGGACATCAGGACATCAGGACACCAGGACATCAACATCAGGACATCACCACCAGGACATCAGGACATCAGGACACCAGGACATCAACATCAGGACATCAACATCAAGACATCAACATCAGGACATCAGGACATCACGACATCAGGACATCAGGACATCAACACAAGGACATCAGGACATCAGGACATCACGACATCAGGACATCAGGACATCACGACATCAGGACATCAGGACCTCAGGACATCAGGACATCAACATCAGGACATCACCACCAGGACATCAGGACATCAGGACACCAGGACATCAACATCAGGACATCAACATCAGGACATCAACATAAGGACATCAGGACATCAACATCACGACATCAACATCAGGACATCAGGACATCAACACAAGGACATCAGGACATCAGGACATCAGGACATCAACACAAGGACATCAGGACATCAGGACATCACGACATCAGGACATCAACATCAGGGCATCAACATCAGGACATCAGGACATCACGACATCAGGACATCAACATCAGGGCATCAGGACATCAGGACATCAGGACACCAGGACATCAACATCAGGACATCAACATAAGAACATAAGGACATCAGGACATCAACATCAGGGCATCAACATCAGGACATCAGGACATCACGACATCAGGACATCAACATCAGGGCATCAACATCAGGACATCAGGACATCACGACATCAGGACATCAGGACCTCAGGACATCAGGACATCAACATCACGACATCAACATCAGGACATCAGGACATCAAGATCCGGACATCAGGACATCAGGACACCAGGACATCAACATCAGGACATCAACATAAGAACATAAGGACATCAGGACATCAACATCACGACATCAACATCAGGACATCAGGACATCAACACAAGGACATCAGGACATCAGGACATCACGACATCAGGACATCAGGACATCAAGATCCGGACATCAGGACATCAGGACACCAGGACATCAACATCAGGACATCACCACCAGGACATCAGGACATCCACATCAGGACATCAACATCAAGACATCAGGACATCAACATCAGGGCATCAACATCAGGACATCAGGACATCAAGATCCGGACATCAGGACATCAGGACACCAGGACATCAACATCAGGACATCAACATCAAGACATCAGGACATCAACATCAGGACATCAACATCAGAACATCAGGACATCAGGACATCACGACATCAGGACATCAGGACATCAGGACCTCAGGACATCAGGACATCAACATCAGGACATCAACATCAGAACATCAGGACATCAGGACATCAACATCAATGACAGACTCAGGTCTGGTTCAGAGGAAGGTTTTACCTTCACCAGCTCCATCATGTCTTTGACAAATCCATCGACCTCTGGCCCCTCTAACGCTCCTGTCTGACTCTGACACACAAACACACAAACACACAAACACACAAACACACAAACACAACTTTTATATTTATTTTTTAAGCCCCGCCCACTGTCCCTGGAGTCTGAAGGACAGAACAGCTTCAGACTCACCACATCATAATGAGTGAATATCTTCTCAAAGTCCCGCCTCCTGTCCTCCTGGCTGCAGCCCTGAGAGCAGACACACTGGTCATGTGACAGGACGTCGTCAGAGAATCGAGGCTGTTTGTAAAAACAGGTCAAACTTACGTCCATTTTAAACTTGAGTAAAAAGTTTTCTTTTAGAGCTAAGATTCTGAAAAAAGCAACAAAAAAACAGCAAAATTCAATCATTTTTTTAAGGGTTCAAACTCTTTGGCTTGATGGAGAAACTGAGGGGAACTTAGAGCTGCTGCTGCTGTGAGCGCCCCCTGCTGCTGAGGCCCTCCGGTACCTGGCCAGGTCGTTCAGGTCCAGTCGACCGTCTCTGTTCTTATCAAACATCTTCATCTAAAAAGACCAAAATCTGAGTTAATACTGAGCTGAGTTCAGAGAGGAGCTGAGCTCCTCCTCCTCCTCCTCCTCCTCCTCCTCCGCCCTGTTACCATGCTGTCGGTGTACACCTCCAACTTCTCAGCACAGACGGACCTCCCGTGCTGGAGGAGGAGGTCCTGGAGGAAACCCTGCAGAGACAATCCAGATGAAAACACCCAAACATTTGGTTTTCTACCGAGCTCTTCAGTGACGCTGCGTACCTTCAGCTCCACCGCTGAGATGAAGCCGCTGCTGTCGGCGTCGTAGTTTCTCCAAATCTGTCATTCATCAGAGAAAAACCACGTCAACGACGACGACAACAATGACAAAAACAACAACTTCACCTTTAAACGCTCTTTAAATGCAGTAACGGTCGATGGTTCTGGGGTTTCTGGACGGGTTTTTGTCTGCACTGCTATTATTCCTGAGACTGCAGTAACACAAACTGACCACAAGAGGCAGGGGCAGCTGATTTTCTCCATGGACTTGGAAGTGATGAATTGGTTGACCTTTTGACCTCACCCTCATGAACTCCACACTGTTGTCCAGCGGCGTCTCTCTTCGAAACAGAAGCAGGAAGTTCTCCTCCTCCGGCAGCATGACGGCAGCCAGCTGTGAAGACAAACCCACGTCAGTATTTACCCCCCTCCACCACTGTCCCCGTCCCCCGTCCGTCCTCCTACCTCTTGGATCTGCACTCGTCCGTCATCACCTGAGGACACTTTGTCCCTCAGTCGTCTGTGTTTGTCCTCACGTTCTTCTTCGTCCTGACAAACCACACAGTTGGACTGGTGTTAAACCACAGGTGACCACAGTGCCCCCGTGTGGTGGCACTGGTTGCATCGTACACTGACCTTTGTCCCCAGTTTTTGGAGCAGTCGGTGGAAGAAGGCGTCGAGCTGCGTCTCCGTGATGAAGCCGCGGTCTGAACGAACCAGGAAGAACAGATGATGAAGATGATGAAGATGATGAAGATGATGGTGATGATGATGATGAAGATGAGGAAGATGATGGTGATGATGATGAGGCAGATGATGGTGATGATGATGAGGAAGATGATGGTGATGAAGATGATGAAGATGAGGAAGGTGATGAAGATGATGGTGATGATGATGATGAAGATGAGGAAGATGATGGTGATGATGATGAGGCAGATGATGGTGATGATGAGGAAGATGAGGAAGATGATGGTGATGAAGATGATGGTGATGATGAGAAAGATGAGGAAGTATGAGGTGATGAAGATGATGGTGATGAAGATGAGGAAGATGATGGTGATGATGATGATGGTGATGAAGATGATGAAGATGAGGAAGATGATGATGATGATGAAGATGATGAAGATGAAGATGATCAGGGAGTTGATAGAGTGAGTGATATTTATATATACACATATGTATATATAAATAAATATATATTTATATATACATATATATTTGTGTATATATTTATATAAATATATTTATATAAATATATTTATATAAATATATTTATATATACAGAGACACGTTGTGGTCTTGCTGTCGGTCTTTGAACCACAGTCGATCGTCTCACCCTCCGAGTCGAAGAGTTGCCACATCTGTAAGAAAGACGCAGCGTCCAGTCGGTCCTGGGAACTGTCCATGGTGCTGAAGAAGGACCAATCAGGACAAGCAGAGAAGATCAGAGAAAAAAAAAGGAATGGTCCTTTAACTGTCCCCAACGTCAGAGGTTCGAGTCCCACCGCTGATTTGAAGGGAGAGAAACCACAAGAGAGAGTCAAGAGCTTTTATAAGAGCCAGGGCCGGGAGGGGGAGGAGGAGGGGGAGGCAGTGAAGAGAGGCAAGGACGGAGGGGGAGGAATGTAAGAAATCAAGGAGAAAAGGAGGGAGGGAGGGAGGAGTCAGGGCATTAAAGAGGAGCAGAAATGAAGGAGGGAGAGAGTGGAGGAGGTGAGTGGAGGAGGTGAGTGGAGGAGGTGAGTGGAGGAGGTGAGTGGAGGACACGCTCAGATCAGTAAATTTATTTATTTGGTAAAAACACAGATTTTTATAAAAACTTTCCCAGAAAAAAAATTCCGTCACCAAAAATAAAAATAAAGACATCGGTTCTTGCGGTTCCTCCAACAGAACAGTACTAAGAACTGTTTTTTCCTCTGATTCTCTGGCTGAGCAGTTAGCTTTGTGACCTTTGACCTCCTGTGCCCGTTGTTAATGTTTTATTCCGCAGATGACCAGCAGGACGTGAAGGCGCTCAGACGAGTGGACAGGAGGCGTCGGTGGGCGGAGCCTAGAGTTCACTTTTATTTTTCCAGATGTTTCTGACAGAGTGATGCTGCGTTGTCTCCAGGCTCCTCCTCTGATTGGCTGTCGAGCCTGACCTCAGCTGGCAGGGTCCGTCCCTGGTCCTCAGTCGGGCTGAGGTGAGGGGGGCCGGGTGAGGCAGGGGTCTCTGCAGAGAGGCGGGGGTGAGGGTTTAGTTCCAGCCAATCCAGACCTCAGACCTGAACACAGACGTTGGACGTTGGACTCACCGTAGGCAGGCAGGGACTTGGTGCGCTCTCTGTCGCCCCCTATGGTGGCACCAGGACTAGAGGACCTCTTCAGAGACGCCCAGTGTCTCCCACCCCCACCGTCACTGCCCCCTGCAGCTGGAGGTTGGACCAGATCACTGTCGTCTCCGACAGGAAGTACAGCTGCAGGCAGAGGGAGGGAGAAACTTCACTTCCTGTTTCATTAGAACTGTTTAATGAGCAGAACCGATGTCTGACACTGACCGTCCGCTGGACCTTCCTGCTCCGACAACGCCCTCTTCAGGCAGGAAGCAGGCAGTGGCATTTCTGTAGGAGGAGCCTCAGCAGTGTCTCCTGAGAAAAGAAACAAAGAACCTGATTGGACCTCCATAAGTGTTCACTAAAACAGTGTTTCTGCCCCCTAGGGGACAGAATTAAAACCCCATTGAGCACCTGTTAATATTTCTTTACCAGTGTAAGAGTTACTGACACCAGCGTTCACCAGACAGTCACCTGGTTAATAACAGTCATAACATAAGCTGCAGTGCTGCCATCTAGTGACCAGAGGCTTGTTCAGCGTTGATGATGTGAGTTAACGGTTCCAATCAGAGTTCTTCACAGACGGAGGCGTCTGATTGGTCTGTCGTCGGGGCATTAAACTATTTCTAGAACATTATTTGGCAAACTCAGAAACTGCGTTATCGGGTTTTCGTTATCGGGTTTTCGTTATCGGGTTTTCGTTATCGGAGGATAAACTGACAACGATTCTTACAGATATTACAAAATATGCTAATATTGGTCGATATTATAGCTTCACAACAAGTCACAACAATGTCCATGCAGGAAGGACACTTACCAGGAATAGACCAGCTGCTAGGTCCTGGACTGGACAGACTGGTGGGACCAGGGGGACCAGGGGGACTGGTGGGACTGGTGGGACTGGTGGGAC